GCTTTTGTGGTAGATAATCAAGTCGTCTGCGTATAAATTGGCTTCAATCGGTAATCTCATTTCGTCCAAGATGTTATTTATTGCAATCAGAAATAATGTTGGGCTTAAAATGGGGCCTTGCGGAATTACATTTTCAAAAGAGAGCGTGGACTAGAGTTATAACCGTTAGCTCTTACTTCAATGTGTCTATGAGATAAGAAATTTTGTATAAAAGCTAGTGTGTGACCCTCAATTTTAAATTTTTGTATTGTTTTCAAGATGTTATATTTCCATGCAGTGTCGAAAGCTTGATTGATATCAATAAAGACAGCTAGTAATTTTTGACTGTGTAGAAATGCTTAATGGATTTCAGACTCAAGCAATACTAAGTTGTCGTAGTGGATTTGCCTTTACGAAACCCACTTTGCTAGGGGGATAATAACATTGAGCTTTCGATTTCTTATTTTTAATTCTTACTGACTTTTCAATATTTATGAATTTCTATAGTGATTTTTTTCTAGAAGAAGCAAATATCCGGTTAATTTTTCTACTAATAACACTAAAATTTCCTTTATGTATTTTTACCAGAATAGTTGAGCAATACGAGTAAAATATGAGCTCTACCCTTTGAAAATGACGTAAGCATCTCTCGTGATCAGGATTTTTAACAAAATTTAGAAGGCGTACACCCATATAAGAATGATCTGCTTTTGTAATAAGCAACCCAAAAGAGAAATGCAGACCACTTGAAAGGTTAAATCGTGCCAATTTAAAATTATTCTGTTTATCATAAAAATATGAAATCAAAACAACAAATCAACAGGTATTTTGTAATAAATTACTTGATATTTCAGATCAAATTATTGTTCAAATGGAAGCAATGATTAGTGGCTAATATTTTTTCAATCACTTATATTAGTTACGTTTCTTGGTTATATTTATATTAAGAATAACACAGGATTGAAACAGGAAAGGTTACCAATAGAGACACTGCGGGCGGCAGATGGTTGGTGGAGAGCTAGTCGTGGGTTTGAAACTAGCTTTTGGAACCGGGAATGGGTCCAACGGACGAAATAAGTAAAGATAGGACACGATAAGATATATTAATAATAAACAAAAAGATAGATGGGTAAAATTATCAAAGATAAAATAAGATAGAAAAAGGGCGCTACTTAACTTTTTGGAATTCATGGAGAAAATTAAGAAACCTTAGAAACGAAAAGAGATAAGGAAAGCTTTTTGGGTTCTGAGACCAAATCTAAGGAAAAATATCAACAGTTAATGATTAAATAAATTTGGTCAACACACTACATAAACAAATAATAAATGTATTAGGTGGACTTCTTCCACCTACTTACCTACGAAACTCAATCAGCCTGATCCTTCTCCTGGTTTAAGGTATACAAGGTATATATGGAGGTACAAGATATTATTTACTTTTTAAACTTCTTCTTCTTCGCGTGCCATATCAGAATTATCCGACCGTTCTCGATCACCATTGCGAAGGCTTCTCGATCTTTTGCAAAATGGAATAATTGTCCCGCAGTACAGTTTTGATAGAATTTGGCAATATTATTTCTGTCCTCTTCAAACAACTCTGATATATACAGGTGCCACTTTTTTCTTATTTCGTGCTCATTTACAAAATTTTTTTTATTATTATTGTCAAGGAGTACAAAGGGAACTTGTTTTTAAAAATATGTTACTCATTTCTTTTAGTTTTTTGTGGACATTAAATAAGTCGTGTTTAGATATTACGTCCTCCATTTCGCCGCACCTTTCTCTCATCCATTTTTCTTTGGCTAATTTGATCTCATTTTTTATTCTTCTCTACAGGTGTCTATATTCTGTTTCATTAGATTTTATCAGTCGACGTTGTTCCATTAATTTCAAGATGTAGTCTGTCATCTATTTATTTTTCTTGATTAAATTTTTTCTATAGGGTAAACTGTGCAAATATCGGTCAGTGGGTAATGGCGGTCATCCCGATTGTGCGAAATCTATTCAATCTGGCAACCTCCTATAACTGTCAACGTGTTGCTACACTACTCTGTATTCAGATTGCCGACGAGCGGTGAGTTGGTGCATACCATTGTCATAGAAATATTATGAACCTGTTTTCAGTGTTTTCGATCTTATTTTTATGGTGAGTAATATAAGGTCTTAATTCATTTTTATTCACTTGTAGATCTTAAAATTGGTTACAATTGATTATAATGATGTTAGCTGCCTATTCCTTTTTTAAAGATCAATAATTTAATACATGTTTACGAGTAAAAAATTCTAAGAAAAAAAATGTCAACAGGAGGCAATGCCGGTCAGTTAACTAGTATTACCCCCATGTTGACTTATATTAATTTACAGTTTGTACTATTAATTCTTAGGGAATTTTTATATTTCAGATGACATGGAATTGAAAAATAACGACTTGTAAAGCAACATGGAGTCAACAGGATTTAGAAAGAGCTATTTTAGCTTATCGAAATGGTGAAATGACTATGCGAAAAGCAGCTGTCATCCCTTTTTCGACATTGCAAGTAAGAATAAAAAAAAATAAAAATCTTCAAGGTGCGCGATTAGGTAGAAAATCAGTATTTTCTGACGAACAAGAAGCTGAAATAGCCACACAAATAAAATATTTAGCTTCTATTTTTTATGGCGCAACAGCAAAAGAATTGAGAAAATTAGCATTTGAGTTTGCTGAAAGAAACAGTATTAAACATAAATTTAACATCTGCTTAGGATTAGCTGGTGTCGAGTGGTTACGAAGTTTTCTTCGCGGAAATCCAACAGTATCCATACGCAAAGTAGAAGGCATAAGTCTAAACAGATTAACAGCTTTTAATAAAGAAGAAGTGGACCTGTCTTTTAAGCTATTGGAAAGTTTAATGACAAAATATCAATTTGGTACAACACAAATATACAATGCCGATGAGACGGGAATTAGTACAGTTCAGGATCCTGGAAAAATTTTAGCTACCAAAGGCCAGAAAATGATGGGCTTTGCAACCAGTGGAGAGAGGGGTAGAAACATCCCAGTTATGTGTGCCATGAATGCCACTGGGGGATACATTCCACCCATGTTTATTTTTCCTCGAAAGCGACTGACTCCTCTTTTAGAAAAAGATGGACCCCCAGGGGCATTATATAAATGTTCAAATAATGGTTGGATTGATACAGGTTTATTTTATGAATGGTTTCAACACTACCACAAATACTCAAAATCCAGTGAAACCTCACCAGTTCTTCTAATAACAGAAAACCATTCCAGCCACATATCAATAAAAGTTTATGAATATTGCAAAGCACATAATATTTCTATTCTTTCAATTCCGCCTCATTCACCTCATAAGATCCAACCTTTGGATATTGTTTTTTATGGGCCTCTTAAAGCTGAATATCAAAATAAATGTAATTTGTTCATGAAAACACATTTTATTATTTTATGTGAAATATCACGCCATATGATGTTGCTGGTCTGTCTAATAAAGCATATTTTACACTAGCGACCATAAGTAAAGGAGAATCTGGCTTTAAATGCCCTGGCATTCTTCCACTCAACCCAAAAGTATTTACAGATAAAGATTTCTTAGCTACTACAACATTACAAAACCAATCGCTTGTTGAAGTACAAGATAACAATGAAGCCATACCAGCCAAAATTTACAAGACAAACCCATCTCAAACTTTGCCACCTATAAATAAAAATCAGATTGAAACATCATTTAAAGAAATTACGTGTGCCATTAAGGCACATTCGTTAATCGTTTTGTAACAAAAAATTGTTAACTAGATATTGATTTTTATTTAATAATAACACAAACACATTGACTGGCATTACCCACACATATTATCGGTATTGTCCATGTATGGTGACAATACCGGTCAAAGATACTTTTTTTATTTTTGTCTCTGTCAAAGGCAAACATTTTTAATTTTTTAAATTGAATGTGTCTTGCAATAAGTTAAAACCCCAAATGACCGACTGACGCCTTAAATGTGATTCACAGAGTTTTACTTTTTTTATATTAAATTTTCTTCCTAGGTGACCGCGATTTGCACATTTTACCCTAATCATTGTTTGTGAAGATTTCCTTAACTTGGTTTTTAAATTCACTCCATAGTTCTTCTGGATCTTCTAGTTGTTTTTCCATGTTTTTTATTCTATTTGTTAAATTCTTTTTTAATGTTATGTGTTATGTTTATATTGTAAAAGTTAAGTACATTGGTTTTTGGTTTTTGTCGCTGTATTCGTTTCAACCTTAGTTTAATATCTGCTACAAGTGGTTGATGATCAGATTCAATATCTGCCCCAGGAAATGCAGTGAATGTTTTTACGACATTTCTTCATTTACTTCATTTTCTTCATTTACAAGTATATAGTCTATTTGATTTCTTGAGAACTCAGGGTTATTGCCATCATCAAATGGGGCTTTCCAAGTGTATAGTCGTCGCTTGGGTAGTCTATATCAGGTATTTGCAATGATCATATCGTTTTCTTTACATACAAACATTCATACAATCTCTGTCCTCGATTGTTAGGTTGCCCTAAACCATAAGGACCTACAGTCTGACCTCGTCGACCTTCTTCAAATTTTTCCATTGAAGTCGCCATAATATATATAATTTCGTGTTGGTTTTCTGTAAGATGTCTTGGATCTGATCATACAACTTCTCGACTTCATTGTCATATTTTCAATCTGCAATCGGGGCATAGATTTGAAGTATGTTAGTTTTAAATGGTTGAGTATATATTTAGAGTACTATTATCTATTCTTTTTAAACTAAGCTGGATTTTTCTGACACTTGTACAAAAAATTGTTGTAATAAATTTAGTATTATTGGGCCTTTTTTTGTCACTTAGTACATCTTCAACAATTTCCAAAATTTTAAAATTTTTAAAAAACTAGCCTTAAGTGATAACAATTAAATATTAAACATATAATCATTTATTCTGCATATATCTATTTATTGGTGACTTCTAAATTTTACACTACGAGTATATTCACAATATATGAAAACTACTTTAGTTGTGACTGCAGCATGCGGCGAAGATGTAGTTTTTTAATAAATATAGCTGCTTTACATCTGATGAAAATCCTGAAACATAAACAAACGTTATACAATTAAAACCAGAATGACTGTCTAGGACCATATGAACTTTCGATATGTAGAAAAGTGTAAAAGAATTATATAAAATAAACATAAAAAATATCAAATACAAAAAATTATTAATGTAATTGAGTACCTAATAAATAATATAGACAAACAATTTTGTGTTTCTTTTACAATATGTTTGTTTTTCTGAACTATTTATATTTTATTTGATTTTTTTGTTTGTTAATATTTTTTTTTTGTAATTTTTACAAAGCATTTTATATACGAAGGTGGATCAAATGACTCAGTTTTGTGTATTGTCATCTATTGTTTAACTTATTAACTATGGATTTAAAAAAAAAGAATTGTAAAATTTATGGTTAATGGAATTGATATTACAACAAAGTTTTTAATAAGCTTAGAAAAGTGTAAGGCACCAAAGGAACAACGCAGTTGTATAGAGTAAATAAGCTGCTAATATTGAAGGTTTAAGATCAATCAATAGAAATCTTCAGCGAAATTCTATTTAAACCATGGACGTATAAACACAGATGGACTCAGTTATTTACATAAAATTGTGAAGTCAAAATTATTTGTATAGGTCACATTCTGAGCACCTTCAACTGTTGTCACGTTTTGTTTTAAAATTTCTTATTCGCGAGTCGCTGAAAATATTATTCCGTATTTTATACTCTACAGGTGCTATCAAACCAATATGATAATTTATTGGTTATATTAATATATTTAATTGTAATCAAAATATCAAGTGTGCACATAGTGTGCATTATCATTTAATAATAGCGTATAATAGATATCAATCAATTATTTTATATGTAGAAGCACTGAAAACTATTTATAAATGGCAACGGTTGTTTACATTTCTCTGTCTTATGGATCTACGTCAAACTTCAAATGCTGTTCCATGTTTGTTTACTTTTTACAGTAAATGAGGAAAAAGTTATTTTTCGATATTTTGGCTGTATTTTGAGTGATATTTGTGAAAAGTGAAATAAAATAAACGAAATATTTACATCCCGATCTCTCATTTCATTTGTAAGTACATACAATTTACATTATTTAAGATGAGGAAATGAGGAAGCGTGTTTGTTTACATTTTAATAGGCGTACCATTGGGTTTATTCATGTTCATTAATTTATTGAATAAGATATGAGTTCATGAAATTAGTAGACATTTATAAATTGTAAGTAGACATCATCTGATTAAAAAAGATCTGTTTAGTACCTTTTTAATTTAACATTTCTCATGGATACAAATAAATTAGTGAAATGAATAAAACTCATTTATTTTTCTATGTAGGTTTCCAAATAATATTGACGATCGAACTATTTGGGTAGCAAATTAAGGAGAAAACATAAAGATTTTTTATTGTAGCATTATTTTGATACTATTAAAAAATTAACTTGAATTCAACTATATTTAATTGTATTAATTTTAAAGCAAATAAAATTGTATTTTAATTTTTATATAAAGACGTGATTTGTTAATAGTTAAACTCTCGTTTTTTTTTAATTCTTTGAACGTGTTTTTATACATTATTACTACTTCCAATTTTTAGAATCTGAATAATTACCCGCGAGTAAAAATTCAAGCACGCTTATGCTCATTGCGGAAGCATCACATTCTATCGAAGTTTCAAAACATTGTGTGTTAAAGGTATCTTATTGCTGTGTCCATCTATGTTTATACGTCCATGATTTAAACAAAATCAAAATTCGCTCTCGTGAATAGGCGTGGAGAGTTTTTTGTTCTGGGATCCAATGCTGAAAATCGCGCGCTGCCCTCCTCTATATACTTTTTTTTTTAATTTCCCACGATGATATTTTATATATGAAAATAGTATATTACATAACGAGAGTTGTAAGAAGCTTATTACATGCGAGTAAAAAAGTTGCGCGCGAGCCGCGTAGCGGCGAGCGCAGTAATTTTACAAGCATGTAATAAGCTTACAACTCAAGTTGTGTACTATACTTTTTCTACCATTATTTTCGTTTATAAAAATAAAAATTAAATTACCACTATATTTACACTGACAGATTAATAATTTTTAATCTGTCAAAATAACGTCTGTTTATTCGTTTCCACGGTAACTCGACCAACTGACGTACGAGGCTTATGTGATATTACACATTTTTATAAAACTGAAGCGTAATTTTTTTTATTACGTGCTAGTCATTACGTGTCAGTATCTGTTATGATGCATTTACGTAGCATCCAAATAGTAGGTAATATACAATTTACTAGTAAGAGAGTAGAAAATAGTATATTACATAACGAGAGTTGTAAGAAGCTTATTACATGCGAGTAAAAAAGTTGCGCGCGAGCCGCGTAGCGGCGAGCGCAGTAATTTTACAAGCATGTAATAATCTTACAACTCAAGTTGTGTACTATACTTTTTCTACCATTATTTTCGTTTATAAAAATAAAAATTAAATTACCACTATATTTACACTGACAGTTTAATAATTTTTAATCTGTCAAAATAACGTTACCATGGAAACGTTAATTCGTTTCCATGGTAACTCGACCAACTGACTTACGAGGCTTATGTGATATTACACATTTTTATAAAACTGAAGCGTAATTTTTTTTATTACGTGCTAGTCATTACGTGTCAGTATCTGTTATGATGCATTTACTTAGCCTCTAAATAGTAGGTAATATACAATTTACGAGTAAGAGGGTAGAAAAACAATATTATACACTCATTAAATGTAAATCTAACAAAGAACAAAAATTATTTACAAAATGTAACTGTATGTTTACAGTAAAACATCAAATCATTTTTAACGAGTACGAAACTTTATTTAGTTGTTTTTAGAGGTAAACGATTCAAATTTTTGTCCTTCGACAAGCCCTCGAAAGAGTTCCAAGACATCCGTGCGACACGGAATTGACCCACGCTATGCTATTGTACGCAGCTCTTGGTAGGCAGGCTTGGGAAATTAGATCAGATGACGAGCTAATGATAATATATATATATATATATATATATATTATATATATATATATATATATATATATATATATATATTCCCAGAAGAGTTTAAAGATGACTTACTTTTATTACCTTAAAGTGGTGATATTATAGACTGCTTGAGGGAAACAGATAACAAAAATACAAGTGACGCTGATTTTGGACTCAAAATTTTTTTTGTTACAATTAAAATAGATCTTAGTCAACGTCACTGCTTTAAATTTAAATACGTGAAGCGTTGTAACTATCTCACTAATAAAACATTGTATCTACCAGTACTATTACAAAATTAAAACATACACCATAGTCACTTTTCTCATTTGTAAAGTACATTACCAAATATTATAATATAAAATATTTTACTTTAAATACTGATTGGTATGAATATTAATTTAGAACTACTCCATCCTGTAAAATTCCACTTTTGCTGGTTACGAAACTATTGGTTTTCTTGAAACGACTCAATATAAATGTGGCCGAGTGTTAGGAGCCAATAAGATGGAGTGGTTCTTATGCATCCACTAACGTTCTCATTGCTATGCTAAGTTAAGTGTAGTTTTTTGAATAGTTGTTTTGAGCTGTTTTTTGAATGATAGAGTTCTGTCTAAGATCATCAAGAGATATTTTGGATACCGTTGACAGGGTGCACTGGCTATTAATTTGGGACTCTTCTACGTAGTTTACCGTATTGTTGCTAAGGTCGAAGCAGCTGACTTCAGTTTTATTCAGGATTAATATTAACCACTACCTGGTGAAATATTTGTAAAATTTGTTGAGGTCGTTGGTCAGCAAGCTTTGGCTAGGTTCAACCTATTTGTGTTGTATAGCTAGTGCTAGATCATCAGCATATCCAAACTTTCCAGCGTTGGTTTCAGACAGAACTGAGATATATAGACAGCCAGGATTGATCCTTGAAGTAAATCATTTTGGAGTTATATTTGTTTGCTTAATTATTACCTTGGATCATTTTATCTATCAGAGGGCATATTGTTTATCAGTGTTGACTAAAATCGAATCCGTTTCGCCAGATTGTAAGGGAGCCCTTTTTTTGCACTCTGTATCGTAGATAGCTGCCAGGTCTACGAAAACTACAAATGCCTTTTGTTGTTTTTGAAAGCCCGCTGAAATATGTGCAGTTAGACTAAGGGCTTAATCTGTGCAGTTTCGATTTGGTCTAAAACTTGCATGTTTATGAGAATTTTTTTCCAGAATTCATTGGAATACAATGAAACACAATGGACACGCAAACCACTTGAGATAGATCAGTGAAAAATCTTGGGTAAGACCTATCTCCAGGGGTCGATGAATATGGGTTGAAAAAACACTAGTTTGAAATAATATTTAAAACGTATCATTAAGTATTATTGCTATACCAGTGTGTATAAATGATCTATATTAAGCAAGTTGTTCGATGTTCTGTCATATTTTTGTATGGTTTTCTATTGTTTCTTATAGATTCTCTTACTATTGTTTCCTATAACATTGCTACATGGTATCATTATAAAACTATCGTAAAAAATTAAAAATCTATATTTGCAAGAATACCTTTTGTGTGATAACACTTCGAGAATCCAAATTATAACTGAAGCAACAATACCTCCGGCTAGTACGACTATAGCTGAATAACAATCTACTAAACTAACACTAATGAAACTTGAACCTCTGGAAATGCAGACTGGTCTCTTAGTGTAAATTAAACTTACTTCCCTTTTCTGTATGCCAGTTTCAAGTAGTTTTCTATAGCTAAAAGAAAAAATCAAAATAAAAAAGAAAAAAAAAAGAAATTTTTAATTAAAATTTACTGTCTAGTTAAATTAGAAGATATTAAATATCTTAATTAGGTAATTAAATAAAAAATTAGAAGATATTTTTTTTATATTGCTGGTTGGTTATACTGCCTGATGGAAATATGGTTAACCTATCATGCAGAGCAAATTCATTAGATTACACATCGTATTAAAATCGCTCGACGTAAATTTGTAAATATGAAGGAATTATTATGCAATCAAAAATAGCTAAAGATGGACCTAAGGATAAAGCTACTGTGCTGCTATGCTTTTACAACGTTTTCTACAGCTGTGAGGCCTGGACGCTGAAACAACAGAGATTAAAAAAATATAGGCATTCGAACGCTGGTGCTATTGTAGAATGCTGTAATCGTAGATAGACACAGTTACCAATATTAAAGTCCTCCGTAGAGTTCATAAAAATCGTTCAAACTATTAAAAAGAGAAAACTTAAATATTTTGGACGTGTAATGAGAGGTTCAAGATACAAACTGCTGCACTTAATAACGAAGGTTAAAGAAAGAAGTCGAACCTTTTGGTTGCGAAATCTAAGAGATTGGTTTAAGCTCCATTCAACTCTAAGGCTGCCATAAATAAAGTGAAAATTGCCATTTTGAACTTTAGGAAGATATTTCCATCATCTTTTATTAAACCTTTTCACTTATATATAACTTTTTCTTACCACATCTGAAGTAATTTCTTGTATGAAGAATTCTTCTGAATGGCCAACCATGGGTCTATTACTTCCAAGTACTTAATTTCTTTTAAACCACATTTTTCGCTCTCTTCAAATGTCTCTTCTGAAAAATATAAAAGTTGAGATGCAATTAGGATGCGTTAATATTCAATATAAAAGGCAACTAACACAATTTTAAAATAATTTGTAGTAAAAAAGGTTTATTGTTTTTACAAACAAGATATTTCCAATGCAAAACTTATGCCAATGAGATGTTTTCAATGCGGTAAAGAGATAACAAATATGGACAGTTTTAAGAACAATGCTACCCATTGACCCAACCATCATGGATCCATGGACGACCGTGTGAGAAAGTTGTGCAGTTAACCAAAACCCAACCTGGGTTGTAGTGCTACGAGAAGAAGAAGAATCACATACATTGTAATCCCACAATTATAACAGTATATTCATACCAATTCATATATGGAAAGTTTGACAAATTGTGCCTTCAACAATTTTGACAAATTTCAACCCTTCCGAACACCCGACCAGCGGGGAAGAAGCTATGCCCGCGAACAGGGTATGTTAGAACAATCTCCTCTAAAGCATTTTGCACTGATCCTAAGTAATACACTAATGTGTAAACAACGGCATTGCTTTTGTTTTGACCGGCACACCCATCACAGAACAGATTCAGTCTTGTTACATTTGAAAAATTAGCGGAGTTCAAGAAATTTATAAGTGCAGATGAAACTTCGGTCGCACCCCTTCCTGCAAGTTCTTCAGTCCATACGTAAAATATGGGGTTTTGTGCGTTTGATGCTACAATGAAAAAAGAGTAAAAACTTAATTGTCTTTTGTAGAACGCGTCTTGAATAGGAGTTTTGGGAAGCGCTTGAATTTGCTGGAGATCAAAACAGAAAGTAACCTCATTTTCTTTGTTTTCCTGTAAGAGCCCATAAAAAGCATTAGCTCTTAATCTGTGTATTCTTTTCTCCATCATAAATTGGTTGACCACTACCAAGTCTTTCACAGCTTTAGCCTTCTCAATTTTCAGCTGAAGATCTATTTTATTGCATGTACTGCAAACGTCAGAAGCTGGTGATGAAAATCCGATATTTAATTCATTGAAAATTCTCCTAAACATAGATTTCTCAACTTTAAGATTATCAAGTACAGAATCATTGTATATTAGCCACAACTTCTTAATTTTTAAGTCTGCACCAAGATAAATCCTTTTCGATTTTTTTTCGATTATAGTGGCTTTCTTTTCCTATTAAATTTCTCAAAAAAAAGCGGACTGATTCCTTGTTCGCAGCAGATTTGTGACTCTTCCTATCGCCACCCCTCTGATCCTTAACAGCCTTCCCCTCTTTCACCTTTTTAGAAATATTAGTCAATCTTGTTCCCTTCACCATGGTCATCATCATCACACAGCCAAATTTGTCCACTGTCGAACATAGGCCTCCTCAAGATGTCTTCACTCTTCTCTGTCCTGTGCAGCTGCGATCCAGTTTGTCACTATTCTTTTAATGTCGTCCGTCCATCTGGTAGGTGTTCTTCCACGATTTCGCTTGTCTGCCCTTGGCCGCCATTCTAAAATCTTCTTTGTCCATCTGTTGTCTCTCTGTCTTGCGACGTGTCCTGACCATTTCTACTTCAACTTCGTAATCCGTTTTATGACGTCTACCACTCCAGTTCTTCGCCGTATCTCATCATTTCGTATTCGGTCTCTCAAAGTTACGCCAAGCATAGCCTTCTTTCCATTTTTCGTTGTGCTACTTGTAACTTTTTTATTGATGCTTTAGTCAATGTCAGTGTTGCAGCTCCATAAGTGAGCACCGAAAGTACGCACTGGTTAAATGCTTTTCTCTTTAGCTTTATTGGGATGTTTTCCTTAAACACGTCTTTTAGCTTGCCATAGGCTGCCCATCCTAAAGCTATTCTTCTAGATAATTCGCATGTTTGGTTGTCTCTACTTATTTGTATTTCGTGGCCCAGATATATGTATTTGTCAACCGTTTCAATTAGCCAGTTTTCTAGTTTCAATGGTCCACTAGGTACTAAGTTGGTCATCATTTTAGTTTTCGCAAAGTTTATTTCCAGCCCTACTTTTTGGGAGACTCGTAAATCTTGTAGCATTTCGTTGGCCTCCTTTAAGTCGTCGGTTATTAGAACTATGTCATCTGCAAATCGTAGGTGGTTCAGCCTTTCGCCATCGACACTCAAACCTCTGTTTTCCCATTCTAACATCTGGAATGCATGCTGCATTACGGCATTAAATAGTTTTGGTGACATGTTGTCTCCTTGTCTAACTCCCCTTTTAGTTTTATTTTTTGAGTAGGGGTGTGGAGGTTTATTGCTGTTGTGGCATTTGCATATATATGTTGAATAATGCTGGTATATCGGTAGTCGATTCTACAATCTCTCAAAGCTCTTAAGATAGCTACCATCTCGATAGTGTCAAAGGCTTTTTTATAGTCAACAAATACTAGAACTAGTGGCCGGTTGTATTCTATATTCAGGGCGGAAACCTGCCTGTTCTCTTGGTTGGAATGTTTCTAGTTTGTTCTCAATTCTGGCAGTGATAATTCGAGCAAATAATTTATACAGGTGACTTAGAAGACTGATTGGCCTATAGTTTTCGAGGTCTGTTTGATCTCCTTTCTTTTGCATGCGGAGCGTTATAGAATTATTCCATTCAGCTGGTATTGCTTGGTTTTCTAAGCATATATTGAAGAGCTGCTTGATTGTCCTGATGAGAGCAGAGCCTCCGATTTTTAGCACATCCGACACTACTCCATCTTCTCCTGGTGCTTTGTTTTTTTTTCATTTTCTTTAGAGCATGGTAAATTTCAGCCGTTGATATGTCGGGAATAACTTCTGAACCTTGGTTCATAATTTTTTGTTCTGTATGTTCTGTCGGGTTTAAGTCCAATTTATTTGTGTATAGTGTTTTATAGAAGTGTTCTACTATCTCTAGCATTTCGTCTCTGTTGAACATTAGTTTGCCATTCTTTCCTTTAAGTCTGATGATTTCTTTTCTGCTGTTCGTCAATTTCCTTCTTAATATCTTCATGCTCTTATTGTGCTCGATTGTCTGCGAGATTTTCTCATTTTTATATGCCCTTATGTCCTTTCTAATTGCTTTTGAGACCTCTTTGTTGATTTTATTTATGCTTTGTTTTTCTATACTCTTAACTTTTGGCATTTCTCTTCTTTCTTCCATTTTAAGTTTGGTGTTAGCAGTGATTCTCTCCTCTCTCTTGTTACCTGTACAACATTTTCTTTGAGCTTCTGCTATGGTATTAGTAATTACTTTATTTAGCTGATTTATATCATTTGTGGGGGGCTGTTTTGTAGACGTACCGTTATTTGATCTGCAAACTCTGTTTCATTTTTTGGTTGTGATCATGCTTTAAATTTTTTCTTTCTTATTAGTTTATTTCTCTCTTTATCGATGTTAATTTCTATTCTAGCGCGAACCATTCTGTGATCACTTCCTGTTGTGAAGCTGTTGAGTACAGTGACATCTTTAACTATAAATTTTTTTATCTGTTATTATATAGTCAATTTCATTTTGCGTTCTCCCGTCCGGGCTTCTCCATGTCCACCTTCTATGTTGTTTTTTGTAAAAGAAGCTATTTATTTGATATAATTTGTTCTGAAGGAGATAGTTTAATAAAGTTTGTCCGCGTTCATTTCTTCCATCGCTGCCGAAGTTTCCAAGTACAAATTCTGATGGATCGGATTTCATGCCAATTTTTGCATTCATATCACCGCATATGATTGTAAAATGGGTGTGATTTTTTTTCAGTGCTTGTGTTACTTCGTCATAGAAAATGTCTATTTCCTCTTCGCTATGGTCTGTGGTTGGCGCATAAGTCTGTATTATTTTGATGTTATATCTGTCGTTCAACTTTAGAATGACGTATATTACTCTCGTGGATATACCATGTATTGTATGGATTCTACTGTACAGCTGTTTATTTATGAGGAAACCTACACCTTCCACTGATTTGTTCTCTTCACCGAAGTGGTAGAATATATGGCCAGATTTTAATGTCTGTAGGTGTTCGCCATGTCTTCTTACCTCGCAGAGCCCAATTACGTCCCAGCTGATCTTTTCCATCTCCAGCTCCATTTCAGTGATCTTGGCTTCTGACAGTAGCGTTAGAGCATTGTACGTTGCGACATTCATCTTAAGTAATTTATGAGTCAAGGTTTTGTCCCCCCCAGAATCCTTGGGACAGACTGATAAATCAGTGTGAGATTCTGGATTCATCCTACTCATCTGGGGTAATGAAGTTTTAAGTCTTGACATAATTTGAGGAGGACCATGGTAATATGCATGAAAAGTTTCCTACACACAGGTATAACTTTACCGGTTGATACAAGTATAGAATATTGTACACTAAAACTTTTAGCCTTTGATTTTTCACCTTCGCCGCTTTATGTTACGTTGATTTATCCAACTGGCAATGGTGTTATCTTGCGTGTTTTTGTCAGGTATTTCGTAGAGGATATTTCGAACAAAAATAGCATATATAGGCCTAACTAATGCACATTTCATACCTTTGTTCATGTGTTTACATGGAACAAACACACGACATCCCACTGGAGTACTGTATCGCTTAAGCTTGGCTCTAGTTTTTTTATCCACAGGCTTTTTATTTTTACGAGATCCTTCATTGGCATCGCCCACTCTCACTAAGTTTTCTTCATCCATGGAAAATTTCAATTTTATTTAATAAAAACTACTATATTAATATTAAAATTAAACCACAGTGCAATAGGTACATACTCAATACTCGCTATCGACATAACCTAGAGGGAAAACACAGACAATGTGTTGACATGGTCAAATCACGTGACCAAATCGGGGCACTCCTATTAGCTGAATGGACATGTGGTGGTATGATTGAAACCAACTGTAGACATGATTTTATTTGATTTGGGAACCTAATATTGTGTATTCATTTTAAACAGGACATGATTTTTTTTAACCGAAACCGAAAACACCATAGAATAGGATTCACTCTTTATATTATGAAACAGCTGCTAACTCATGCTTACTTAAAATTAGTCGTGGAACCTTCTGAAATAGATCATTTAGCAATCAATTTTTCTTTTTATTATATGTACCATTATGTATCCCTAAAACTGCACAGAAAAAAGTTATAGAACGATGTTTGCGCAAAAATAGAGAAAATGAACCAAAAATGATGTGAGTGGCGAACTTACCTCGTATCTTATTACGAACTTATTATTATTCCGCGAACTCATTACGTATCTTAAATACTGTGAATTCTAAAGACTTCTATCAAACGTAATTTTAAAGAACAGATATATAATTTTTTTTTGTAAAGCAAAACCTTCCGATGCCCCCGAGGAAAAACTGTATTTAAAAAAAGACAAATCGCACGTTTTTGAGTCTTTTTGTTTCGGTTTTTGAATATATTTTTGTGAAAACAAAAATATTTTTACTTTAAAAGGTAACATTTGGAAAGGAATTTTAATTTTGAACAACTTTTATGTACATGTATATTTAGGAAAAGTGCATAGAATTCTCTTAAATGCACCCTAGTGCATAGAGACTAATTCTTAGAGACTAAGTTTCAATAAAAAATCTTACCAATTAACTTATAGCCTGGCCCAGTTTCTGTGTGAAAAGCAAATAAACCTTTTCGAATATTGGCAATTCCTTCTTTAAGTGGCATGAACTGATTTTTCATACCGGGAGGAGCCACCTTCTTCAAATATAAGGCCTTATGGATTGGCTCCTGATAAGCCTAAGAATGATTTAATGCTTTATTTAAGAAAATTAGAAATTACATTATAAATAAGTAAGATCAAGCCGATATTATTAAAAAAAAAGCTGGGATTACGTCATTTAACATATGTTTGTTTTGACTTTTCGATTTCCACTTTGGAAATGGTTCTCAAAACACGACTTGTACACGATTTCCGAAGGGGAAATCGAAATGTCAAAACAAACAAAACTTAGTTTAAATTAAAATTGTCACTTATTTCCAGGAAAAATAGCAAATTGTAAGATTCCACAAGAAAATAGCTCTAAACAATATTTTAAGATATCTTTTTGTGCCAACGATCTTTTTCTTCTTTTTTTTCAGTTATGGTTGTTGTTTCGTCTGTTAAACTTCATCGCATATATTAATCATGCTTTCCCCTCGCGTGACATTATTTAAAATTTTTCCATGCTTTTTTAGTTTCTTAATTTATAATTTTGAAAACTTAAAGAAGATAAAAACAGAAATGTCAAATACTCACGGATTTTACATTAAATTGATTCAATTCAATTGTGTAGCACTTATCATATTGGAAAAATAACAACATTATTAACTCTTTAGACTTAACCTTTAAAAAGAATTCCTCCTTTTCTTCTTTTTCTACATTAAAATTTTCAATTTTTAGAAAACCTACCCAAACTGATAATATGATAGCAACATCACAAATAAAAGTTTTAGACTTATTGTCGCCAAGTGCACGGTCAGAGTGATCAATGGGTACTCTTGGCGCGCACTGCCCAGCCTTCCCTCCTTTTCCAACTTTATCATTGGTCTTTTGGTTAGAAATCTTGTAAAATATTATGTATAATTATTAGTTGATTTTCGAGCCAAAGATAAACCACGTCCTGAAGAGGTGAAAACCTTAAAACAGGACACCAAAACACCAGAAGCAAAGCAAACACCCACAGAAAGAAACAACCAGACAATGAATTATACTTTAGAATTGGACTCTAGAGAACCGATCGGCGGGGCTTTTCTCCACCTACCTGCCTTAGACTCTGTGGCTTTGTTTTATATTCTACAATTGGCTTTTATTTCATCACTCTTCGATACAAGTGCATGTAAGAATCCAAATATCTTACGATATTGTAAGAAATTCAGAAGATATCGATACAGTTGAACATCCCGACCCGAAGAGGAATATTTGCCTAGCGTATTTTGTATACTAATACACGAATACCCTAGAGCAGAGCGTACGGTGTAGGAGACGGTTTTACCGTCAAGTTACCCCCAAGACGACATTATCAAGACCTTTTAGAAGAGCTTGAGATATTAAAAGAAATGAAACTGAACCCTGACTGTTGCTTAAACACACAAATCAATCTTAATTGCAATTATAAACGTCTTTTTAAATTATTGTGGGAGACTTTAGAAGAAGAAGAGTGAACTTATGCAATCTTAAAACTTTATTCTACTTTTAAATCTTATTACTAATTTATAACAATTATTTGTAATCAATCATTTGACAAGTTATTCTTCATCAAAATAAGAAAATTTTCTAATTTTTACTTAAAATTCTTACAATTGAGGGATACAGGGGAAAAGGCAATTAAGTCAAAAAAATATATTTTTCAGGAAAAAGAAAACAAAATTTGAAACGATAAAAATCCTATGCTTTTTTACATTTTTAGCTACACATTTTTATATATTTTGACAAATGGCAAAACTAGAATGATAGCTGTCTTCTAAAATACACTTCAGTAGAAGTTATATTCGGAGTAGGAAAATTTTTTCCGAAGTCTATAGCGATGGACTCTACAGTTGATGACTTTCTAGCTTCAGTTTTTGCACGTCTAATCACTCATAAAACCAACCGGCCTTCTTCAAATAGAGTGTCTTTTCAAATTCTAACTTTCTGATATCGTTCTCTTTCGTCATCACCTTTTGAAACACTAATTTTCCTATGGCAGGGATGCCTCTTGTCGCCCCTGCTTTTCAACGTTTATTCCGAAAGAATTTTCAGAAAAGCACTTTCTGAAAAACAAGAAGGAATACTTGTGAATGGTGTAGTCATCAATAATTTGCGATATGCGGACGATACAGTACTCCTAGCTTCTAGTCAAGAAGATCTGCAAACACTACTTGATAGTGTCATTGAGAGTTGTAGGGAGGCAGGTCTGGATCTGAACATACGGAAAACCAAAATACTCGTAATAAGTAAACAACAGCATATAAAACCGTCTATATATGTAAATAACTTGAGCAAGTTGATAAAATCGTTTACCTTGGATAGCCATTAAATTGTAACACAGAAAGACACGGCGAAATTAGATCTAGGATAGAGCTGGCTAGAGCTGCTTTTAGAAGAATGTCCAAGGTGGTATGTAACAGAAACCTAAAATTAGCATTCAGGATCCACCTGCTTCGCTGCTACGTGTTCTCGGTCTTACTTTATGGTGTCGAGTCCTGGACTATAAATAAAATTGATCTAAATCGCCTTGAGGCTTTCGAAATGTATTGCTATAGGATAATTTTAAAAGTTTCCTGGGTGGAGAAGATTCGAAACTCCACAATACTAGAACGTCTCAGCAGGACTACTGAGATCATAAAAAGCATTAAGCAGAAAAAACTGGAGTATTTCGGACATGTAATGAGAGGTCCCAAATATAGGTTGCTACAAAATATCATGCAAGAAAAAATAGCAGGCAAACGCAGTTCAGGACGAAGAAGAACCTCATGGTTGAAGAACTTGAAAGATTGGTATGATGTTGATACAAGCATGCAATTTAGGGTGGCAATGAATAAAATTCAGATAGCTATGATGGTAACCAACTGTCTGAAAGGACATGGTACATAAAGAAGAAGAATTTTCCTATCAAACTTAATAATTTTGGTTTTTTGCTTGTCACACCAACAGCACGTTTCAGTTCGTGGATAACCTAAGAAAATGTTAAACTCTGACACAAATATTTACCTTAATGTTTTATAACACATCTAAATATGGGGGAGTTTGGTCAAAAATAATTCAAGAATTTTTTTAACATTCATATCTTTCAGGAGGTAAACTCTGTTAGAGTCCCTTAAACTGTAGTGCGCTTTACGTCTCTTTAATATACCAAACAACTGCAATAAGATTATAGGAGTTTGTTGATCTACCTTATGAGGTCTATTGGTAGGCTTTCCCCTTCTATCGATCGGTACCGTAGCCATGCCAGTTGTTCTTAAAGATTTTTTTATTGTATGTAATCAAAAGGCTTTAACGCTTTAAAACATACTAATACCTCTACTACATTGCCATTTCTAATAATTCTTACTTAGTGGCTGTAGGAGTTTTCATTCAATCTAGCCTCTTCTTCGTTTTTCCTTGGCGTGTTTCCTGGTTGAAACACAGGTCGTAATGAGGTAAGTTCAGATAAGTAACAATATTTGGCATCATTACCATTGTCACGGCCAATGTTATTAAACTGTCTTATTAAATCACTTACTAACAGTCTAACAGTCTTTTCCGATTTCAGAGATCGAGGCTCGTAGCTTCTTAACAACATCTCTAAGACGGCCATGTGACGGCTTTTCCGTTGATTTTTCTTGATTAACACGTGTATTTTCGTCACTGTCAGACACTTTAAGTACTAAAACTTTCAACAAAGGCTCTTAAAACTGAAGAACACTGAATAATTCTTAACAACTTAATGAACAAGCTTGAATAAATGTGTCAAAACAACAACTAATAAAGAATTTTATGGACTGTGTAGATTATTTCTATGTTTCATATTGCTATGTTAGTTTTTCCCCTGCAATATATATTTAAAACCCTGAATATCTCAGGACTACGTTTGTTGTTACCCTTGACGATTTGTAAAGATAAAATACACGAAAAACAGAGACTGTGGAAGGGAAATTGGATTTTTTTCAATTTTGGACTATGTTGGTTTTTCCTTTGTACCCATCAATTGCAATAAAAAGATACGATTTTTTAAAACACTCCAGTATCAAACTTAGAAACACTATAACCTAGTTTCATATCCCTAAAACAAATTATTTAAACCTTAGTTTAAATAATTTTTTTAGGGATAACGTGTCGATTGAATCTACTTTGACCTTTAGTCAATTTTTAACATGTTATTTATTTATTAGGATGCTATAGAAAAGAAAGCAATATTTTAAAAATCTTAATTTTCGAATAAAATATGTCAATTCTCATCTTTGAAGAATCATTTAAAAGGCTGGCATTTGATTTTGTTCATTCTATCGCATTTTTCTGCTTCGACTACAATAAATGGTCGGGTTCTGACACCCGTATCATAACCACATTTTTTATTCTGTTTTTTTTTTGTGGAGTCCAGCGCACAGTCCTTTTTGTGTTTTTTCATTGACAAAGTAGAAAATTAATTTTTTTACTATATGATCTCCCCTAGTAGGATACTTTAATACTTGACGTAAATGAATCATAGTTAAATTAAAATTAGTTATTTACATCATTGTTCCATTGTAGCATAGCTCTCTAAAGATGGCTTTGTAAGCCAAAAGCGCTCAGCTAGGAATTAAAATGGTTTACACACATCAAAATTCAATTTTTCATATTTTGATTTCAGTAAAACCTCCGTTAACCGAAATAATTGGGGGGAGGCCGTTTCGGATAACAAGAATTTCGGTTAAAAATAACATTGTTTTTTTATAGTATTCTTGTTAAAGTATGGGTTATAAAAAATACTATGAGGTGATTTCGTAATGTTTTCTAATAAGTAGGTAAATACAGAATAAAGTAATAAAATTAAAAAAAATTCGTTTTTAAAGAAATCTTCCATTTAATTTTGCGTTATCGTTTGACAACGATGTTTTGCAGCTATATATCTCCATCGTTCATTTGCAGAACGGCGTGAGTTTGCCTCATTCCATCGTTCGACAAAACGTAAAGCAATGTGAAGAGGACAAAACTTTATACAATGACAACAAAAATTAAGAACCTACTCGTGTCCCTAACTAATTAGTTCTACTAATTGTCTGGATGAAGAACCATATCAATGATGTCATGGTCGATGAATTCACTTTCTGAGTCATCGGCTGCTAACCACACACGTATCCCTTCTTAGTTAATTTCGTCACATCCCGGAATTTTTTTTATTAAACGGTTAACTTCTTCTGTCGTTTCTTTACTATTTTCGTCTTCAGAATCGTCAATCAAAATGTTAGTTCCAGCATTTTTCCAAAGTTGAAGATTTGATCTTGGCCCAGAACTCAGCACACCGATAAACAACATGTTTCATTGTTGAACATTTGAGGATTTTGGGAACACTTAGATTCATTCATCTCGTGTAATAACAGATGTCTTAAGAATGCTCCTCTATAATGTCTCTGTAGATTTTGAGGATGAGTTGACGCATTGTCAACAAGCAACAATGCTTTGATGTGAAGGTTTTTTTTTTATTTTAAAAATGATTTTACACTTGGGACGAATTTATTTTCGAACCATTCTGAAAATAAAGTAGTCGACATCCATGAGCTATAAAAAACTGAAAGTGCTTTTTCTCAAATATCTTATAGAGCTCTTGGTTTTTTTTATTTCCAAACACACATAGGCATCAATCGGTAAGTGAAATTAATGGAATTGTTTACATTTTGCGATAAAAATTTAATTTTTATTGACGAAATTATTGAAACTGTCAGCCGTTTCGGTTAAACGATGTTTCGGTTAAAGAGGTTTCGGTTAATGGAGATTTTACTGTATTATTTATTTTCTCAGCTAAGTATTACCAAATTATAGAGTAAATTTAAAATTTTGATTTTTAATCTACTTACAGCAAAATAAAACCTGTTATACACATTATCATCTACTCCCACTCCCAGCCTTGAATCCAGCAGATCTTTCAAGGTCTGTATATTTGATGACGATGACTGTAGCAAAGCAACGATGTTGGCTGCATAAGATGTGTACAGAAACATTAAAGAGATAAACAAAATTATCGTGGTAATTCGTCCAGGTATACTAGTTGGTATAATACTTGATGCTTGCTGACAAAACGCTCCATAAGAAAGAAGAGCTACTTCAGTTATAGATACCTCGTTATTGGGTGATAATTGGTCCTACAAAATTAAATTTAAATCAATAACAATACTTTATATTCATTCTAGCTGACTTGGCAGACTTCCTACTGCTTCAATAGATAAAAAAAGCGAAACTATTTTCAATTAATTACACATGATGTTTGAAGTAATAAAGTTTAGTTAGAAGTAACAAAATAAAGTTTGAAGTGTAACAGTTATAATTTTTCCAGTCCCTCCGGGAGCATCGAGGCAGTAAATTCCACCAGATCCAACTGTTTAAAGCTTCTATCAAAGTTTTGTACGAAATCCTTTGTTGTTGATTTAATTGTGGACATCTTTTGTACCTACTAATAACTGTTTTGGCCAATGCCGATGAAGAAACATTTGTAATTCTTGGAGAATGGTTCTTTTCACTGTTGGATTGTAAGCATAATGCTTATTAACCTCCTCATCTTAATTGCCCATTAAATAAATTTGTAAAAATTGATGATCTGCATTTGGTAGTTGAAACAGCGCCCCGAGTTTTAAAGTGATAAATACATATTTTAATACAAACTTAAATATTATAACAAAAACTTTTAAAGTATAATACCTTGAAACTGGGCATGAAATTGTCCTGTACAATATGTGTTGCGCCAAACAATGTCATCTGACAACAGCTGTTATATTTTGAGAAACTATAACTACATCCCAGAAACTAAAGAGCGTAAGTGATCTGGTGGTGGGACCAATTGTGCCAATTTTACTTTGTCTTCAGCACAACATAGTTTATTTAACTCACAACTGTATTTTAACTCCTTACAATATTTACAAATTATTCTAATTTCCCCAATTGTTACCGATTTTTCAGTACAATAATTAACTGCTAGATTATAGTGGAATGCAGCTCGTTCCTCGATCGCAGGAGTACTGAGTGCGGGATTTATTAATTGCATTACGTCGTGCTCGCTGTGGTTGTGTTTGATGTGCACGAACTCATTGCATTATAAGCATATCTACTTTATTTTGACTTACGAAAGAAAGCAATTCTGGCATATCAATACGACTATTTTATTGATCTGTCTCTCTATGGTCATCAGTGCGGTTATCCCGTGAGGTAGCTCTTCGCACATTTGATTGAATACGACGACCTAATTCAGGTCGTCTTCCCCTATCTGTTACGGATGTTGGACACTCATTTAGCTATTTTAACTGTTGCCTTAAACAGTCCAGTAGTAATCAACTTAAAATATTTTCGTAGTTTATACAACCAGGAGATTCTTCTTTCATGACCTCTTTTTCCATACACCTTAGTTTGAAGCATGGCTCGAAGTAGGTCGTGTTGGTTACGCATTATATAGCTCAGCTATTCCAGTTTGCGACATTTTTTGGTCATTACTAGTTTACGCTCTTCACCCATTCTATGCAGAAATGTTTTGTTGGTAACTGTTTTCTATCTAGGACTTTCATAGCTACATAGCACCACAGCTCCATCGCTAAAAATGCTCCATAGCATCACATTTTTATGCTTAGTCTCTCATCAGTGAAGCTTCAGTTAAGGTCCATGACTCCACTCCATACAGGGTAAAAGCAACTTTTTTTTCAATTTAATATCGTGACTGTTAAAGATTTTTGATTTTGCCTTCTTGATTGTTATTTTAATTTCGGTCGAGTGTTCCCACTGTTCGTTTAAATTGGAATACCGGTTGTTGGTTAACTAATAGTTGTCCTAGTGTTATTCTAATTTTGCTTATAACTACGTATTTTTTTATACTAAAATTACGCCCAAACCTGCTACATACTTCCGCTTCCCTTAAGACAAGAGTCTGCAGACCTTCCAGATTATATCAGTCTATATTAGTTAGCGCTATGTTTATAATGTGCTCTGGATAAATATTATATATTAATGGGGAGAGGATATATACCTGTCGCGCACCTCGAGATTTTTAGAACTGTCAAATGTACCATAAAAAATATTAATCCTGAACAAAGTGTTAATTTGAATAATGGAAAAGTATGAGAAATTACAATTACCTCGTGACAAAGACTACACTTGCTTTTATACTCCCATTTCATGATAAAGTATAGCACTAGACCAGTTATAGTTACTAATGCAATTGTTGAAGCCCATACTTGTCTGTTAAAGGGTAGAGTAAAAACATTGGTAACATATGATAATTTCGGTTCTCTAAATATAAACCTGGAGTATGTTGCTGTTGGCATAGCAATATAATCCAATAAATCGATTCTTTCTTCTAATATGAATAACGGCGTTCCTGAAAAAAAGAGTCCGAATATGTTGAGACAGTTATAGGGGAAGCCGGGGCAAAATGAGCACCGGGGCATGATGAACAATTCCTTAAATTTAGAAAATTTCCAATGCAGTTTGGCAACACCTGTCTAGCATAATGTAAAAGGCGCGTGCCCGTAACAGGCAACTCAGTTTAGACAATAGATTAAATATATATAAGTAGAGACGGTTTAGACGAATCAACCGTTCGCTGCGGTCGTTATTTGTAATAGATATCTCTTTGTACACGTGATATAATTTTGTATGATATTGTTTAGTATACTACGGCAATCAGTGATTAGTTTTTAAAATTGTTACAGCTCTACGATCAAAAGGTGAGTTTAGTTATTACATGAATGTAACTTAAATCAAAAGAACTGTTGTGGTTTCTTTTAAGGAGGCAAAAATAGTTAAATATGAAAAGCGTGGGGCATAATGAGCGGGGCAAAATGAGCAATAATAGGGTGCTCATAATGCCCCTGTCCGTATTGCCCCTCGTTATCAAGCTATTAGATACACTCTTAAACCAACGTTTGTTTCTATTTAAGTTAAGGAAATATGGTGCGTAATTATATAAAATAGACCAACAGACAATCTTGGACAGAGAATGGAATGGCACACGCACTTGATGCTGTTATAAATCGAAACATGGCGTGTCAAACTGCTGCTACAAATTATGCTGTTCCTCGTGCTACCTTACAACGTCGCATATGTAAATACCAAGCCAATCAAGACATGTCTTGTGCCGTTAAAAAAAGGCATGGGATTCTTCAAACCGGTATTTACACCAGAGCAGGAATTGGAGTTGGTTGGCTATATTCAAGATATGGAAAATCGCCTTTTTGACGATTTCAGTAAATAGGTTCTTTTAACTTCTAACTACGACTATTGAAAAATACCAGATAACGGCAGATCGATTATTTATTGTTGATGAGACTGGCATAACCACTGTTGCAAAAAGTCTTAATAAAATTATCGCAACCAAAGGGAAAAAGCAAGTTGGGTCTTTGTCGTCCGCAGAGAGAGGGAAGATGCTTACTGTGGAAATATGTATGGATGCAGATGGTTCATTCATGCATCCATTTTTAATTTTTCCAAGGAAACAAATGAAGCCGGAACTGTTAGATGGCGCACCACCAGGTTCTTGGGCTGAGTGTAATGATTCAGGCTGGATGCAAGGTGATTTGTTTGTTAAATGGTTTAAAAAATTCGTAGCATGGTCAAGAGCTTCAAAAGAAAATATTGTGTTGTTATTGTTAGATGGCCATTTTAACCACACAAAAAATTTAAAACTTATTGACCTTGCAAGACAGCATGGTGTAGTTCTGTTGTGTTTTCCACCTCATTGTACTCATAAACTCCAGCCACTAGATGTAAGCTTCATGAAACCATTAAGTGTCTATTACGCTGACGAAATAAAAAATTGGTTAAGGTTGAATCCAGGTCGAGTAGTTACTCACTACCAAGTGACTGAACTTTTTGGAAAGGCGTTAATTCGAGCGGGAACAATGTCAATAGCTATAAATGGTTTTAAAGCTACCGGGATATGGCCACCTAACCCAAATATTTTTGGGATGGGTGGTGATTTTGTGGCAGCGGATACTACAAATATAGAACAGTCGCAAAATGCTGGAATTATGGAGCCTCGGCAGAACACGCCATCTTCACAAAGCATAAGGTACTCTCCACAACCTGGACCGTCAAACAGATCACCTTCTTTAGACTTTAGACCATCCCAAAACATAAGGCACTCTCCACAGCCTGGGATGTCAAACAGATTGCCTTTTCACGATTTACCTTATCAAAACGATAAGCCAACTAAATTTGTGTTTGCTTCTCCACAGCAAATTTTACCCATTCCAAAGACTACAAAGAAACAAAGGCATACAAGAAATCGGGGAAAGACAGCTATTTTAACAGAATCGCCCTACAAGAACGAGCTCATGGAGTCAACTCAAATTAAAGAGGCTAGAAATCCTAAAGTTGAATCTAAAAAACGAAAAGAGTTTAAGAATGATGACGATGAAAAAGAAAACAAAACAGAAAAGGTAAATACAAAAAACGAAGCCAAAAGGTCTAAAACCAATGTGAAAAAACAAAAAACTGTTGAAGATGACTCGAAAAGTGACGTTTCCGATGTAGATTGTCTATACTGTGTATACTCATACTTGCAATCAACTGAAGGGTAGGTAAGTTGTTGTGTATGCGAAAAATGGGCTCATTGCTCCTGTGCTGGAGAAGAGGACGATGACGATGAGTGTAAATATATTTGTGAACAGTGCCAGAAATAAGCAAAACTTCTCCTAATGCTGCGCTCATTGTGCCCCATACCCGGAGCATAATGGTTTTTTGTTAACTTAACATTTTTTATTATTTTTTTTTATTGTTAAGTGAGTTTTAGGTTAAAATTGTATTTTGTAGTAAACAATAATAAATATGTAATTATATAGAACTAAAATAATTTCCATATTACCACGAACAAGATCAAAATTACCCAATGTCCTTAGGGTGCTCATTATGCCCGGCTTCCCCTATATATATATATATATATATATATATATATATATATATTATATATATATATATATATTACTATAAATTTCATACTACCTCCAATATCGACTTCCTTTCTTAAAAGGTGGCCCATCATTCCAGAATAATCAGAATTATTAACTTTGTAGCCCCATGTATCCTCAAAGGTTAAATTTAGTTTTACATTTACAAAATCTGCTACATGTTCCAATAAAAAATAGTTAACTTTAGTAATGGAGTCCACATGTTTATCCCTGAAAAGTAAGTTTTAAGTAATTCTAGCCACAGGATGTGCCATTAGTATAAATGTACTTATTTCCATAAAATTTATTAGTCATAATGTGGTAGATCAAACAAAATTACCAATATCAAAATAAAATGGGCTCAATAATTGTAGTTAAGATAATTTTCTAAAAGGCTATTACAGTGATTAACATATCTATAAAATACTTACAGGTAAGTAGAATCATTTTTAAATCTTTTTAAACTGTTTGTCCTTGTTTAGTGTAGTGTTATGTACAATTTATGTTTAATTTTCATGTTTATTACAATCTGCGCTTGCTGGATAGCCCAAATTTGACGAAATGCCCCTGATGATGCTTTAGGAAGCGAAAGTACTTGGGCAAGATTTGATGAATAAAATTGTGCTCGATATCTGCCTTTAATTTTTCAAAGTTCATTTATTCGAGCATTCAACCTTATATCAATTCAAAGAATGAGAGTTGTCATGAAAAAAAAAATAGACTGCAATGTCACGAAAAGAGACACGAAGTTATTTGTCTCGATTCTGAAAAAAACCTTAGTGTCCCAAACATGACAACAAACGATGTTTACTATAACAGCTAGCTGAACGTCTATGTCTTTAATGTCCCCATTTTATCTGTGTGTTTAGCAAAAGGTGTATTTTACATTTACCCGGAAACACTTGGCAAAAAAGGAAACGACGATGTTTGCTCAATGCTGCTCTGCTTTCTATGGAATTTTCTCCATGTACAAGTAAGATCGCTTAAAATATACTGCGACTCGTATGGGGGACAAAATAAAACTTACACAATGTTTCGTTTTTTGCATTATATTGTCCATACTCGTAGACGTGTTTATAATAAAGTTACTTTTCCTATTCGTGGACATTGAACATTGTGGAAATAGATCAATCCTGCTGTCGAACATGGACGATTTTTTTTAATACTAAGACAGATTATTTGAAAAAATATCCTTTCAGTCATCGTCCAATTCGAGAGTTAGAAATATATCAAGAACATCGTAGACTAATATATTACCAGGAGTCTTAAAGTAGAGCATGGGAGTGAGCAATAGTGAAGGGTAAAGAAAGTAAGCGAAAGGGACCTGTGCTTCTACAAAATTAATTTGTACTTCCTCCATATTCTTATTCAGGTATAAAAAAATATTATATTAATGTCCTGAAATACCATTATTAAACAACAACATTATTTTAAGGTTTGATACCAGTCTCGGCTAAAAAATTTAATTGTCTACAAAATGTAAAACAATTCTGTGGTGACTAGCAAAACTATTTTTTGATAACTTGCCTAAGAGTTAGAATTATTTTATATTAAAAACTTTTGTCTACTTGTCATTACAACTTATTTTTTTTGGAATTATTTTCAGGCCAATAATTTTTAGTGGTTTGACCAATTAAGACTTATGTTCTATTTGGCATAATATCAATATAAGTTTAATTTCTTGTGTGTGTTTAATTACACAAGTAACTAATCTAACCAACAGAGTTCATGATAAACATCAATAATTTATCAATAACTGGTTTCAAGATTTAAATTTTGTTTTGTACGAAATAAACATTTGATAAATTAGCTCTTTATGGACCTGTATCCTTCATTTGTGAAAAAGAAAATAGCGTATATTAAGACACAGAAATTTGGACAATTTCAATATGGAAGGAAACAAGAAATAAAAATCTTTAAGTCTTACCTTCGTTTTTGTACCAAATTATGTTCAACAAAATCATTTTTGTGAAAATTTAAAGATCAAACTAAAGCAATAATTATGTATGAATATTTTATATACCTCCTGTCAGTTAAATGTTTGAAAGTTTCATTGTGGGTAACCACTATACACACATTGAGAGTAATTCCTTTTAAATCATTTCTTCTTTTTGCAGTTTTTTTTTCTATACCAAAATCATCCAAGCGGTCTTTGGTCCACAAACCTGCATTTTCTCTCTGAAGTGGTAATGAATGATGATACTTAAAAATTTTCGTTAATGTTGCTTCAGTATTTTGGAAATAACAGAGAGTGACATCACTGTCGACCAATATATCTAAATTTTGTAACGTATTTTCTAATAAACCTTCTAGCGGAGTTGAATGAAAAAGTATCCATTTAAATGGAAACATGAAATATTTACGGTCATTAGCCTGAAAACAATCATTATCTTAGTAAGGTTTAGATTTTTACTTTAATATATGGCTACAATAATATGATTTGGTGTAACAAGTGATAGTAACTAAATACTTCAACCGAAATCTCAATCTCTTCCAGTCGTGTCATGATACTCTGACGACACAGTGATTGCCGGGATAAGTCATCCACCACTTATTGATATTATAATCAGTATAATACATTATAGTAATTAGTCAATGGCATAAGGATGTATAAAGCGAGGAGATACTATATTAAATATTTATTATTAGAGATCGGACATATATGCACTAACATTTTCCATAATATACTTATTATGGAAAATGTTATTGGTATATACTTCAGGATAATAACTAAATCAGGATACTGTGAAAGTAACAGTGACATTGAGATTATCATTTAGAGTTTTTACCACGTCTATTAAGAGTATCATTTAAAATACATCCTTTTTACAATTTCACCAATATTTCCTTTTACTCTGATTATTTCATTTTTGAAGCTCCCAACCAAGTCCACATATTCATTAAGAGACATTCCTTGCGCCTTTAAAGTGGAAATAATACTACTTACGAATTCGTAGTTAAACTTAATAATTGCTAATTCGGTCATTATTGAAGCATTTTTAAAACTTTTTTATACTTTTTCTTATGAAACTGTTCCACTCATCGTTAAAATTTATATTAATTCTTTCAGTGAAACAAAATGATTAGAATAGAAAATTGCAACATTAAACCATGTACCTACCTCATCGTGTAATTACTGGTTGGAGTGATAGAGGAGCATTTGGTAACTTTTCTTTATACACTTAAATTCTCAAAAAAGCTTTAAGAACATTTTTTTTGCAATTAATACAAGTTTAATTTTGCAATTGTTTGTTTTTGCATCAATATAGTTTAAGATGTTGGCCTGCCTTAACCATATAGCTAGCTGCATATGACAACATGAGTAAAATTGTATTAGTAGGTACAGTTTCCGGAAGAAAAAAAATTCATTAAAGATTCATTTACAAACCGTAAAATTGTAATATTATTAGTTTTGCCCAGCTGCTTACAGGCAATCAAATAGGATTTACTTGCAGAGTACCTGATTATTATCTGAAACCCCACTTAGAAGATTTGCAATATATTTTCTGCAATTATCAGACGTTTCGTTATTAAAGTAGCTGTAATTATTTTTGATAATCTGTTTGATATCTTTTATTGTTTCCAGAAAAACAATGTAATGTAAGTGGGAACTCCACTGTCGCCAAATGTACAACTACTGGGGCTCCGCTGTCATCACTGTGATGTACTCGATATGAACCTTAAAGAATGCTTATCCCTGCGAGCGGCTGCAAGGAATATTGGTCACACTAGTCTGGAGGGCTGGCTCGCCTTTGTGGATTTATGAGAAGATAAGGAGCTTCGGAATAGGGCTCAAGGACTTCTAGGTCTCAGGTCCTGTAAAGAGTTTGAGTCTATGGGCTTGCTTTAGAAGCCGGATAAATGTATAAGCCGAAATTTGGTACTCTTCTGGTCTCTGTCGGAAGGAACATAAAAAACCAATTTTAGAGTCTACAAATGTATTGAATATACTATGTGGTTTACAATTAAGTTAACAAACTGTCAGATATAATTAATAATAACTCGTTCGGCGCGAAGGGAGACGAGAAGAGATCTTAGGAAGAAAGTAATGGGGTGACAATCTGTAGTACTATAATTTACTTGGGTTAGTATATAGAATTTTGTTACCTTTCGCGTATTTAGGCTCTAGCTGATACGCCCTTCAGTTCCTCTGGAAATCGGATTTCTTTCAGTACCCGACACTTATACGGAACTATACCCCGTCGAAATATAACAATCGCGCGTAATCCGCACCTAGTGCCGACTCTCGTATTAACAACCCTGCCCGAAGACACCGACCGCCTGTGCGTACGGGACGCTATCGCGTCCGACACGATGCCGGCAATACTGCCTGAGCGGGAAGTCGGGGTGCCCAACTATCACTGACTCACTGACTAATTTTTTTAGTTTTTATGTCCCGCGAACATTCCTAGTTTATTTTGCTGATTCTGCGGTACTGTTCTACGTGTTGAAATGTAACATGCGATGGTGTGTCGCTTTGTTGTATTCATTTTCACGAAGGTCTTCAGATTTCGTAATTCTTAAACATTCGGGCTTGTGTCAAACTAGGTCAATTGTTATTATTTGTATAATTAAAAATGTATACGTTACTGTATTTAATATGGAATATATAATAATTAATTGAATGATTATTATTCTCCCTATGCTACTAGCCCTTATTTTTTCTATTCTTTATTTTCTTGCTATGTTTACATTACAACAATATTTACGTAATATTTGTGCAAAATGTTTTCATTTAGTATACCGAAACGGCAGTTTTTTCTACAAAAATTTAAGTGGCCCATACGCTAGTAAGAGAATTATTTAACAATGGTCCAGCCACAAGAAGACTAGATGGAACCTGGTCTCATCTGAAGGAAGCTCCGATTCAAGTGAGGATGCAAGCCGCTTATACATACTTCGACCTCTTTAGATCTGTTCAGAGTGGTATAGCCACCTCTCTGAATCGAAACAAAACATCGTGCCGCCGCGCCGCTCTATATTGAAACAAAAATCTAGTACCGTCTGTATATTTTATTTCTTTACTACGTTTGGAGTACCAGAAATTGAATTCACTACGAATTTTGACCATGATGAACAGCATGTGAAATGCAATATGAGATTTCCCTGCCGAGTAATTTATCAAGCTGTTTGCTTTGCAAGTTTTAGAAAGCACAGTGGTGGTGTCACGTGGTCAAGTGGTCAAGATTTGAATTCGATTTCGCCAGGTAGAAATCGTTTGATTTCTCTTTTTGAAAATAAAACAGTTATCTATTATAAAAGAAATGTTCTTATGCTCAGTACCAAATATGACGACTCTATGGTGACACTAAATTGCAGAGGACAAGAAGTTGATAAACGAGCGATGGCCTTATATTAGAATAAAGGAAAAGCTTTTGTCGACACTTCTGACCAGATGGCATGTTATGCGTCATAAGTGAGAAGAATCTTCAAGTGGTATAAGCGACTCGTTTTTTATTTTCTTACTTTAACAGCTATGGTAAATGCCGTGCATCTGTATAACAAAATTATTAACAAGAAATTGGGTATAATAGAATTCAAGGAAAATATCGGCGAGGCTCTGGTTTATCAATATTTTAATCCAATACTATCAACACCTTCCACTTCCAAGATAAAACCCTTCCTAAAAGAATACTACCGACAAAATAGTGTTACCAGAAAAAGGTGCAGCCCATGCTACAAGACTATGTCAGCGTAAAATCCAATTTACACTCGTAAAAATGAGAACAAAAATAATACATATTGCGATACGTGTAACCTGTCAATGTGCCTCGAATGTTTTTAAAAGCATCTAGCAACTATCTCATTTCCAGAAACACACACTTATATTATTTTTTTGTACTGCCAAAAATCACAACCGACACATTCATTCAGCCTAGTTCACATAAAATTTTGTTGTTTTCTGGGACCACTGAATACGTCACCATAAGTCAAACTAATATAAACCGTGCCCACAGCGACTTGAAGCAAGCCACATCAAATGCTCACGGGTGGGCACGCTGTCTTAAAGGAAACGTTAAAAATGACCACCGGTGAGCACATGACGCTAAATGTGCCAAATTGTTAGCAGATATTTTATTTAAACTCACCGCTTCTAGAAGCTTTTTAGAATTTTTACATTCCAAGTTTAATGCAAATAATTGTTTTTGTGGATATTTCCTGTGGTGCAACTTGTTGGGATCTACACCCACTACTCGAAAAAACGCTTTTTGTTTTGTTAATAGTTTAAGTAGATTAAAAGACTCTAAAATAAATAAAAATATTTTAAACATTTACATTACATAATTGTTTTTGGTTGCGGTCATATAACTATGAGGATGTTAACATTACCTCTGATTTGTAGTCGAATTATTCTAAATTTCTGCAAAGTATGAAACATGTTAGATGGTATACAAGTAAAGAATAAAACTAATTTTTAAATTCTTAGATTAAACATTTCATAGCTAACTCATGATATAGTTTTTTCAGTGCTTTAGGTCAACTTTACTTATTTGTTTACAAAGAATCTTGATTTGATTTTTATGGAGTACCGAAAGTTCATAAAACGAATATACCACTTAGACCCATTTGTAGTACCAAGAATTCTCCTTGTAGTAAACTATCAAAATTTTTATTCAACATTATACAACCATTTTCAAACAAAAATGACACATTTATAAAAAAATACACAAATTTTTTTAAATAAATTATCAAATATTGAATTTAATCAAATAATATTTTGGTAAGTTTTTATATTAATAGTTTATTTACAAATGTGCCGTTAGATAAGACTTTAAATATAGTCAAGACAAAATTAGAGAGTGATGATATATTGGCAACTTGAACAAAACTAAACATATCATATAGGGGAGAGGGGGGCAAGTTGTTACACAATTATTTTAAAACACAGCAAGTATCATGAGTTGCCGATATTTTATGGAAAGTTGGGTCAACCGACCCGTCATCTGTGAACGGATATTGATACTCAAGTCAGACATCCATCATAGTGTTATTGCTTAGAATGTGGTTTCGGGTCTAAAACTGTACCGTTGTCAGGTGGCTTTTGTTTTTATTTGTGAGAAATTGGTAAGTAGTATAAATATGTGTATTATATAGTTTTGAAGCGTATATATTTCTCGTTATTGGCATGTTATTGTTAGTAATTGATTCTCAATATTTACCAAAAAACGTTGACTTAACCTTATTTTGTAAACGTGGGGCCAGTTGTTAATATAATAATTTGGGGCCAGGTTGTTACTGTAACAACTTGCCCCGAACACGTTAATGTAAGAATATATCGAAATACCCACAATGGTTACAATATGGTTACCATAATTTATGATTTCACTAAAAATCCAATATTATGATCAGAC